TTGTGTTGAGCAGCCATATAACTGTGTGGTGTAATCACGTATGCCCTATAAAACATGAATAAATGAGCTAAACAAATCCATCATCAACATACACAATAGCTGCAACTTATTTTACTTCAAAGTAGAAATCTTTGTTTTTTCTGATAATGAGGAGTGTGGTAACCTAACGCTTATTTATAATTTGGACAGAGGTTAATGAACTACAAATCTTTCCATTGTTTTACAAAAGAAGCAATTCAAATCAGGCAGATAAAACCTAAATACTGAATTTAAATTATTATTATTACAAAATATTATATAAAAGAACAGCTGATTTTACTTAGAGAGTTAAAACTTTAAGGTCAACTTCAGCATCCTCAGACAAAAACTAATCAAATTTTTTCCCCAACAGACTGCATTAAACCTTTTTCACGCTTGCCCTTTTCCTTCTCCAGATAGTTGAAAAATTCCAAAACCTATCAACATTATTATCTCCTAATTCAGACTTTGTTTTAATCAGTTTATACAACCAGTTACATTGTTTTGATAACGATTACAGGATGATTGGACTTACATATCCCCAAACAATGGTGCAGAAGGCTGTTCCACTGACCAGTACACCCATGCCATACTTGCTATGGAAGTTCTGAGAAGCTGTTGATCCGTGCCTCACTTGCCGAACAGCCTGGCCTGTATAAAAAAATAACCACAGTTAGAAATCCTGATAGCATTGGATATTTTTGTCTTATAAATAGAATAAAACAGCATTTAAGTCCTGCGGTTCTTCTGGAAAACAGATTGCAATTTAACATAATGCATAAAAGGGGAATCAAAGTATAAGTCAGAATAAAGCTCTTTATAAGAAGCTGAACACATATTTGAGCATTCATAGAAGAGGTATGCATTGGACGATATCCACTACACCTGTGGGGTGAATTAAGCTAAGGTTATTTTGTTGAAAAAATTATGGTCAGGGCTGAATGAATCTATGATCATTTGGATTCTGTTTATTTTTTGCATATTTTCTTCCCTTAGTCTTAACGCAGCTATATCAGTAAAACTAAGGTTAAGACTAACTTTAAATAAAACTTCTACAAAATTGCCATATTTATAAATTGTCCCTTAGATATAAGAGTATATTTTTATGAAGTTAAGCTCACAGATACGTCTGATTTTGCCCAAGAAGAGCATTTTATATGGATATGAATTAAGAATAAAGTACTACATAATTTTCGGTATAAAACCGCCCAATACACAGAAGAGAGACATAGAAAAAGAATTACAGTTAGATTTAGAAAAGCTGTTTTTGCTGTTAAAGTCTAATACTGCACGTTTCCCCTTTCAAATATAACATTCTTTTTTATTTGTTCCAAATTTTAACTTGTGAAAGGTAGACCAGCAGTCTTGTACCAAATTGGAAAGCAATTTTGGAAATAAAATGCCCATTTTGCAATAATTATAACATGGTTATGAAGAATTCATTTCAGGACTAAGAACTGTCTTTATTTTGTCTCCTAGGGTCAAAATACTAGTGACATATTTACGTTTATAATATTTACATCAGGATTCTTATGGGCATGCTAACATTCGCTAGCTTATAGCGGGTATGTTGGGGGCGGTCAAACAACAAAAAAGCTTATAATATCTTCCTCCTGACCAATAAAGAACTAGTTCCCGGGTAAATTGCAGAAATAAGACATGAATTAGAAAGGAAGGAAGACTTCTTACCACTGACGTTAGCTACAGCTTTAGCGAACCGGTACATGTTGGCTGGCCTGGCGACTTCAGATACCCTTGAAAAGGTCCAATATGGCCGTCTGTAGGATATATACCGGAAGCTGTGGCGTTCAAGTGACGTCGTTAAAACTCATTTAGAAGCTCTGCGTTCTAAACTGTTTGACTTAAACGAGAGTATAATATGTGAGTTCTCTATAAAATGCCTTTAAAATAAAATGAGTAAGGAACTACAACTATACCGCTACATATATCAGTGGGTGTCTGTAAAATATTTCTGCTCGAGATAGGTCCTTTAACGCAACACGACAGCGACTTTTCTGTACGCATGCGTAAAGAAAAAATAACCGTTAAAATAGAAAGCGAGAAAAATATGCGGAGTGCTTGGCTCAGATAAAATACAATTATTACGTATGCCTAAAAATCGTCATCATAATACATCACAACTAGCCAGAGAGCAATTCCATCTTTACAGTATAAGTACGTTACGTCGCATGTATTTGAGTACGCGTGTCAGGATGGCCGAGTGGTCTAAGGCGCCAGACTCAAGGTTGAACTCCCTTCCCCAATACGGGCATTCTGGTCTCCGAATGGAGGCGTGGGTTCGAATCCCACTTCTGACACATACTTTTTTTTTTTTTTTTATCTATTTGATTAGAAGTATCATTGTGATTTTAAATAGCATTCCTAAGAAGCACGTTACTTATGAAGCTGGAAGAAAACTACAACCATACGATCCTTTAAGAGCTGATAAACACACCCTGGTGTTTTTCAAGTTTTAATGATTGTTTCATAGCACAACCCTTTTTCTTTAATTGTTGTAGGTTATACCAATAATAATTTATACATCTGGTATAGAATGTATGCTAACTCCCAACACAAAACAAGAAAAAAGGGCAAAAAAATGGAAGAAAAAAAAAAAACATGTTGGCATTTTCTTTCAAAACAAACCTGAAAAGTGTGGCATGTCTCTAAGAGTGCTAAATGATATATAGAGTAAGCAAATGTTTTAAATTAAATACAGTCTCAATATCAGCAAGCTGTTCATGAGGAAAGATGGAGCACTGCAGGCGGGTTAGAGATAAAGCTGAGGAGTTCCCACCATCTGAAAATGGAAAACAGGGCAAACTGTACCTCATTGCATTACCTCAGGAATATTCTGGTTAAGTTTTGAGTGTTTTATGTCACATCAGCTGTGTATATAGAGCAAAATGTCTCTTTGGAAGGCAAAGGTGACATGATTGGACTCAGGGGCATGGAGGGGATCAAAAGATGGTGCAACAAAAGAGCTGCTTAAATACATAATTTGCAATTTAAAATACTTTTTTCCATTAACTTCAGAATTATGCAACACTTTTTCTTGGTATATCACAGTGTTTCCAAACCTGTTTTTTTGCTTGTGACCCCCTTTGGGCATTTTGTCTTACCATGTGTACCCCTCTCATTCAAAAGTATTAATGATCATCAAAATGTGGAACGTACAATAACTAATTAAAAAATAAAGACTATTTTACTTAATCTTTTGAGAATTTAATTCCTAGGCATTTATTCTTTCCACCTCAAATAAAAAGAAACATAAATATGTCTGGAAGTTAGTAAGGAATTGAAATCAATATAAAATCCTATTATAAGCCTGTATTTATAAAACTGGAGCTCCTCTGAGTATCTCCCTTATACTCACATTTAAACTTGATGAATAGGGAACAAAATACTTAACAAGAATTATAGTCAGACTGACTTAATTCGTTTTACTTTGTTTTCATCAAGAAACCTGAGCTGCTTTCATGAGCTGCGATACCTCAGTTTGAAAAACAGCTTAAACCAGACTGATCTCTACATCCAGTCTGTCTCTCTGCTTGGTTTTGAGGTGAGCCTAACCTGAAGGTGAACTCAAACATAAGAAAAACTTACTTTTTGGTTGATAAAAGCTTGTTTTATTTTTCAGTTGGGTCCTCACAAAACTATTTTACTACCTAAGAAATAAAATATTTTGATGTACCCCTGGCAATGTACCCAAGTACCACTAGGGGTACCTATTGTGTGTGTATACTGTATATACATATACATGTGTATATATATATATATATATATATATATATACACACACACACAGGTGTCAAGTAACGAAGTACAAATTATTTGTTACTGTACTTAAGTACACTTTTTAGGTATCTATACTTTACTCCATTACTTATTTTTCTTCCTACTTCTGACTTCTACTCATTACATTTTCACACAAGTATCTATACTTTCTATTCCTTACATTTTTAAAACAAACATTCATCAGAATCAGAAATCATCAGAGGCAAGCAGGTGTTCTTCAAAGTGCAAACACGAATTGTCTATGCCATGCTACAATGTCGGATTCAGAAAAAGATGTCTGAAAGGTCGGACACAGGCGAGAGCGTATCTGGAGATGGAGACAGAGACCAACAAGACCTCCCTCATCCTTGGCCCTATATCAAAGACATTTTTGAAAGAGTCAAAAAAATGGAGCTTTAAAATTTATATAGTGGCATCTGGCTTTTTTTTCTTTACACTTTAATACTTGAAGTAGGTTTTGGAGCACATACTTTTTCATTTTTACTTTAATAAAAATGTCAAGTTGGTACAGCAACTTTTACCAGTGTTTTTAAACTGCAGTATCTATACTTCTACTTAAGAAATATATATATATATATATCCAGGGATATGCACATAGTTGATGCAAAAGACTATTTGCAGAGCAGTAATAGTTTGAATGATGGTTTTACTTATAAAAGCTCCACCGTTCACTTTAATTATTATAGGAGAGAAACAGAGAAGCTTTATAATTTTGTTAGAATACGTTATGGTTTTACAACTGATGCAATATAAAAAGCAACGCATCTAATTTGATTAATTATACTTGTACAGCAATAAATTCAAATAGGCATCCAGCTGCTTATTTTTTGCGTTTAATAAATCAACATCTTTCAGAGATAAGGACAGTATGACCTACAAATTTTAAACAATTTTAAAAATGTTCCTTCATTTTAAAGCAAATTAAAGGAATAACAAAAAAAAATTAAAAAAAAAGCAAAACATTGTTTAAAAAAAAAAAAAAAGACTCCAGGTTTACACTTTAAATGTTGAGGCTTAATGGAGGAAGCTTGTAGGGAACAACCTTAATAGGGAACAGGATTAACTTTGTCAGGATGATAAGCTGGAGAATAAACCGTGAACCTGGCTGGATATAGAGCGTCTCAAAGGCTAGAGATGTTTAAAAAAAAAAAAAAATATTTATGTAAACAGAAACATAAGCAGAGCAGTGAGAATGAGTGAGTTTAATCTTTAGAGTTTGGTATTTAAAAACAGTAGTTTCATGGCAATGTTTTTTTTCATTCATAAAAGTCCTGCTGGTGAAATAATCTAAAGTTATCTGGACACTCCACGAATTTAATGCTAAAACATTAAAAAACAAAAAGGGCTTTCATTTTATTTTATGTTTCACATTAAAATGACATTGCAGTGAGAAATGAAGCAGCAAATCCAGATACTTAAGAGCCTTAAAGAACCGTTTTTATAATACTCTTAAATGATCAGTTTCAGTTCAGATCATGGAGCAATTATTTCATCATGTATAAAAAAAAAAAAAAAATCTAGACCGTCACTTTATAATAATAACTTGCTATTTCAGTTATTTATTACACTCTACTTGTAGACATTTAGGATATTTATCCTCTGAATTGTGGGAATGTGTTTGAAGAGTCCGTCCTTTAAAAGGCTCCCATCAGAAACATGGAATGATCCAAAAACAGCCCTTTAAAGCTTTTTAACTGCGCCCAGTGTCTGAATTCAGATAAAACATCAGGTTCATCCCCTTTCGCCAGATGTATAGCAACTCTAACTTTATTTAAACTTTCTTAATGAACTGTATTGACCCCTCCACATCATCAAACAGGCCATTTATCTGAGCGAGCTTCCAGCTTGATACGTTTCAGGATTTTGTTGCTTACTTCTCCATCCTTAAAGCTATTACTCGGGGTGTTTAACCATTAATGCCCTTCAGACAAATAAACGGAGATGAATTTAGATTCTATGCCTGGTCCAAAAGTTGAAGGATGTTTGGTGAAAATAGAAATGTTTGCTGAGAACACTGCAAAGTAGACCAGAGGCTTCAAATTACAAACATTAAGGCATCTCTCCTTTTCCCCTCTGCATCCCTTTGTCCTTTATTCAGTCTTCTTATCTTTTCCCTCCTCGTTGTCGGTGTATTCTGTTGGCTCGTCGCCTGGTTTCAGAAGCTTGCCGATGTAGTAGTATTTCTCTGCAACACAGAATGCCCCAAAATATCAGCATTGACATCATTAAAACGATTCCTCTTTTTAAAGTCGTAGGGAAGCGGCTGTTCCAACGGTTGCAGTTCCGAATTCTCCCAAGTGGTGCCCAACTTTACACAAGTGAATAAAGTGAATGTGATTGGTCGATTATAAAGGGGGCAGGATTGTTGTGGCGGAAGGTTCTCAAACAAGTTTGGTTGGGGCCGGTGTCTAGGAAGCATCTTGCTAATCAGTTAGCAACTTAGTGCTAGTAGTTCCCAATGGGAAATTACATTGAGACTGAGTAGCACTTAGCAACAACACCATCAATCGTTGCATATGTTAGCTGCGACATATGAATCAAGATGCTATGGCCAGAAAAAATTGATTGACAGATGACCTTTGATATATGAGATTTTAAAACAGGGTTTTTTTTTTTTTTTAAATAGAAATTTTCCAACTTTTGGGAAAACATGTCTGATAAAGAGTACATTTATGTACATGTTTAAGCCAGAATGATTTGAAATTTAAATACGACTTCTCTATGACTTTAAAAGAATCCAAATCGAGCAAATTCAAATTATGCCCAACCCTAGGGACAACAAGTGGTCGACTTTAAACAACTCGGTTAGTAAACTAGAACAAACTGACCCTAGAATTGATCATGGCTGGAGTTTAAGCACACTATAAAAGCAGTCTGCATACAAAGACGGAAATCCTTGAGAGCATAGAGTGCTACATATTGAAAACTGCATCGTATATCTGAACCAACCTGTGAACTGACTTTCCCACTCAGACAGGCTCTCCTGCTGCATGGAGTTCAGATCTGACAGGTCGTCGTATTCGTCCTTCAGGGCCTCCTTGTCCAAGCAGAAGGTGGCCAAACCTCTGGATGCATCTCTGCCTGCAAACACCCCGTATGGCCCATCTGTAAGACAACAGAAAAGCAAGAAGGGAAGTGAAGCTCAATGCTGAAACATTATGAAAATCACACAATGTCAATGCATTATTCGCCTGCCAAAGAAACACAAGCTTAGGTTTTATTTTAAATGTTAAAGTGACCTATGAGCCAGCTGGATCATCTCTGGTACATTTTAAACAGGATTAAAAAAAATCCACTAATGATCCACATTTATCAAACAAAGAAAACATATTTCCAACAGAAAAAAATACTTTCTGACAACAAAAAGGAAACAATTTCCCAAGAGTCAGAAGCACAGAGGAATTCAGATAAACATCTCAGACTTTATCAGTTTTCAAAGATCAGTCTGGTTAGAACAGCGAGATTTAGAAGGTTGGGCTTGTTTTGAACCATTGAAACAAAAAGATTTGCAGATCTTTCACCCTAAAGTACTAAAAACTGGTATTGCTAAGGCCAATCCAACTTGAAGAATAACCTGCACCCATTTGTCAGCCTGAGCTCAGATTGTGACCTAGATAAACCAGAATATCAAAGACTCTTAGGTTCTCCACCTGCATCCATCTACTTCCTGATGACCTTGTAGCATGGATGACCATTTACCATATGATTTATCATTATACGTTTTCAGTCAGGTTAGCAATCTTGATATATTATCTTTAACAATAAATTTGAAAAAGCAATAATTAAAATAAGGTTTAAAATGGTTGAAATGTGATTTTTTTCCCCGTTTTTTTCCATTGAAGCATTAAATTCTGTTACCACAGGATGTTTAGTGATGTAAATCACACTTCTTTATGTAAATGGTGTCCTGAAGTTTATTTCAAATTATTATAACATTTTTAAGAGTAGTGTTTGTGATTCTGGGGATATGATGCAGTCACAGCTATACAGTTACCCAAGAACAACAAAAGACTTAATAAAGAGTGATTTAATCCTAAATTTTAACTTCTCATGAAGGCATCTCATAATACTGTGATGAACTTTTAAGGCCATATCAGCCCTACCTTAGAGTTTAAATAAAGAGCTAGATCTCCCAATCTGCAGAGAAAATGTACAGACATTAATAAAGCTTTTCTATCAAGTATTTAAATATCTTTAGATCTGTGCCTCCATACGAGTAAAGTAATTTATTAATCACCGATGCGTGTGTTGGATAAAGTATTTTCCTATACAACAAAAACCAAAATAAAAATACTGGTATGATCTTGCGACCTGAAAATAAAGACATTTGTTTTATTTATTTTTAAATATCTTAAGATTTGCCTCTAGAAAATTGCATTTATTTAGATTTATGCACATTATGTATTCTTTTGCACATATAATATGCAAACTTTTTTTTTTTTTTTTTTTTTTTTTTTTTTTAATATAGCCATGGTTTTGTATGGAGCCCCCTGGGTGTCAGGGTAAAAAAAAAGAAAAAAAAAAAGCCGGTGGAAATCCGTGGGCACGGATTGATAAACTAAGTGCACAGTTTTCCAGTGCGCGCAGATTAAGAAACTGTGCTCTCGGTTTATTAATCCGTGCCTGCGGATTGAGATATATATATATATATATATATATATATAAACTTCACGTAGTCAACTTCACTGTTGACAGGCTGCAGCCTTGTCCCAGTTCCAAGTTTTTAAGCCATTTTTGTTAAAAGTTGCATTTTCTCTAGCTTTTTCTCCGCCTCGATCTTCTTTTCTGAACATACAGCTTTACGATAATCTGGAAGCAGTTACGCACAAATATATAACAATATACCGTAATCCATCGGATGAAATTGTTTTTATAAACTTTTATTTTTTTTATAAAGTATTGTAAATGCTACGATGATCACATTTAATGAACTTTAATATCAATTAAGGCCTTAATTTAAAAATAATTTAATGACTTTTAATGATCCAGGGAAACCCTGCCTTAACAGCCAGTGGCCCCGTCAACACTGAAGAGACGATGCTGGCTGGGACAGCAGTCACTGAGCAGGTCAGAGGACTGGAGGGACAAAACAAGCTTTAGGTAAACTGTTCTGTAGAAATAACTTCTACAATAGGGAAAACAATCTGCTTTTATCTGGCCTTCAAACATTTTATTCATCATTACATGATTTTAAATATTTTTTCCAATATGGCAGCTTTTGTAATTATTATAAATTTTTTTTTTTAAACACAAGGAGCCATGGGTGTCAAAAGGGGTCTTACACAAACTTACACATGAACAATCTTAAACATTTTATTTCCCTGTGGCAAATTAATTAAATACGATTTCAAAAAATCCTGTCATTAGGCTAAAATTGGGAACTTCATATCCAGGATCCCAGTGTGTGGAAGTTATGTTGAACATTGATTGACAGCCAGTTACCCAGTTGGTCAGAGGTTACAAACAGCAGAGGTAACAGTCTGAGATAAGATAAAAAATTAAAAAAAAAACTTCACGTAGTACAAGAGCTGTATCTGAAATTTAAAAACACTTTATGAAACCAGGTTGAAAAAAAAATCTAAATTAAGTGTGCACCTGAATATTAAGCAGAAAAAGTAAGAAAATAAGACCTTATATTGAGATCAGTTACAGATTTGTGTGAGAATTAAGAAAAAAAAGCATACTAATGATTTATTCAACATTACAAAACTTAATCTAACCATTCTAAAAACAATCTTTACACTGTTTTAAAGTGACCAAACAGTCAGCCACTGTAAATGAATGCAACATCCAAAGGTTGTTGTGATAAGGAAGGGGTGTGTAGTTTGAGCCCCACAGCTGAAAAGGGATTTAGATATTAGGCTGTGATGGTGGTGGATTGAAGAAACTGGGGTTTAAACATGTTTTAGTTAAATGCACATTTCAAGGATTTTTTCCCCCCTTTAGTAAAACCTCAAATTAGGGCTGTTTGACAAGGCTTAAAATGTTGTCTCAGAATGATACGATTAATCACTTTTTTTTGGGTCCCTAAGGTTTTATGATTAAAAATTACAAACATTACTTTCTAAAACTAGTTTTGAACTTAATTTAAAGGGTAATCACATGCAAGTGGAAAAACTTTGGACAAAAGAAAAACGACAATAATAGTATTATAAATGCAACTTGTTTGATTATAAATGCAGCAGTTCCACGTAGCTTTAGGTAGGGGGAGAAATCAACTTGTTCATAGACGATCTCTGATTTGAAGGCTACCTCCGCTGAAAAAAAAAATCCTTCGGCTAAAAAAAGAAAAACAACTAAAAGGGTGTGACGCCACATTCCAGGGGCTAAACTGAATCAACTGACCCAAAACAGAGCATGCTCAACACTTTGAGTAACCTTAGCCAGTGTGCTTTAAATCCCTGATTTTATATTAGTTGACATGTTAATATAAAGCCTTAAGACTCAGCAGCTGTTGGAAACATTTACCTGGTCCGTAGAACTTCTTTCCTCTGGTCACATCGAACACTTTCCCATTAACGGCCATGAGAATCCGCGGATCCTGCACTCCGTCGTAAGGCTTCAACTCTGCCAGAGTAAAATCCCTCTTTTTCATTTTAGGCAGCGGTTTCTCCACCTCGCCCACTGGCGATGGGCTATCACCGCGGAAGATTTTGTAAAGCAAGTACAAGCATAGGCTTAACAAGGTGAGGTTCAGCGGGGACGTGAAGATTTCTTGAAAAAGTCCTCCAGAAGTAACTTCGCTTTCCTCTGCTTCAGCCATGTCGGCGTCTTTCTCTCGTCTCACCAGTATGCGTGTTTCAGTTGAGCAGTGATTTGACCAATCAGCGTACAGTATTAGCCCCACCTGTTCACGCTTTAGACCAATCAAAACAACAGTGTGTCAAACCGATGGTAAACACCCTTGGAAACGATACGCGAACGAGTCTGCCATATTGTGGGTGGCAAGAAATCTCAATCTTAATTTAAAGCATAATTCATATTTACTTTAATTCATATTTACTTTAAACTTATTTTGATTAAAAAATCTAAACATCATATCACGTATTTTATATCATTTTATATTCTGGTATTAATGGTATTAAGGGAGCAGAAGCATGATGAAAATGCATTTTTATTTACCTTTTCTACAAC